GACAGACAGAGAGAGACATAGAGACAGAAAGCGAGAAATCATCCCCCAGGGGGGATGGCCACGCCGCAATCCCTTCTCCACTCTCCTCTCGGGATCTTGGGCACGCACGCACATGCGCCCAGCATGAGTTTTAAGCCACTGGGTCTGGAACGCGAACCGCGGTCGACTACGTGGGAGTCCAGCGACATAGCCATTATGCTAACTGCTGGTACCCGATAAAGTAATTCTTTTTAAAAATTTTTTCATTTAACTTTTTTCATTTGTTTATTTCAATTTGATCAGAGAGGGACAGAGAGAGAGAAAAAAAAATGAGAAAGCAAGCCAACAGGTCTGGGACTCGAACTGTGGTCAACCATATGGGAATCCAGCACCTTTAACTACCACACCACCTGCCAGTCTCTGAAATAATTGTTTAAAAAAAAAATCTCTCAGGACCAGATGATGTAATGGTTACATTACCAGACACCCACATAGATAATTGCAGTTCAAGTCCTAGACCCGGATGCTTGAAACATGCTGGGTGTGTGTGCATGGGTGCCCAAGATCCTGAGAGGAGAATGAAGGAGAAGGCATTGGGGCATCCTCCTGAGCGGTGATTTCTCACTGTCTGTCTCTGTCTCTCTGGTGAGTGCACACGCCCTATAGCAAAACTCTAAAAAACAAACAAACAAACAAACAAAAACCTCTCAAGAAAAAATAAATAGGGAACCAGCAGTTAGCGTAATGGCTATGTCGCTGGACTCCCATGTAGTCGACTGCAGTTCGCATCCCGTACCCGGTGGCTTAAACTCACGCTGGGTGTGTGTGCGTGCGTGCCCAAAATCCCGAGAGGAGAATGGAGGAGAAGGGATTGCGGCGTGACCATCCCCCGGGGGCTAATTTCTTGCTTTCTGTCTCTGTCTTTTTGTCTGTCTGGCAAGTGCACGTGCCCTATAGCAAAAACCTCTCAAAAACAAAACAAAACAAACTTCCTTGACCGAGCCAGCAGGTGATGTGGTGATTAAGGCACTAGTCACCTTCATGGGCAACCACAGTTCAAATCCTGTACCTGGCAGCTTGAAGATCAAACCTGGTATGAGTGCATGTGTGCCCAAATCCCAAGAGGAGATCGAAGGAGAAGCGATTGCAGCATGGCCGTCCCTTCTGAGAGGTGATTTCTCACTTTCCCTCTCACTGTCTCTCTGGTGAGTGCATGTGCCCTAAGGCCAAAAAAAAAAAAGCCCTGTTTTTTTTTGAGAAGTTTTTGCTATAGGGTGCATGCAATACCCAGACAGAGAGAGACAGAAAGCGAGAAATAACCCCCCGGGGGATGGCCATGCCGCAATCCCTTCTCCTCCATTCTCCTCTCGGGATCTTGGGCACGCACGCACACATGTACCTGGAGTGAGTTTAAGCCACCAGGTCCGGGACTCAAATCGCGGTTGACTACGTGGGAGTCCAGCGACATAGCCATTACGCCAACTGCTGTCCAGAAAGCCCTGGCTTTTAGGGCAGAGGAACCGCGCTGTATGTTGTGAGGGCAGGTGCCGTCATCTCTCGGAGTAAAGACCACAGAATGTGGTCAGGGAGCGAGCTCTGGGCCAGACAGGAGCCAGCAGACAATGCACTAGACCCCGCGGGAAGACCCTGGGGTCGCTTTCCCTGACCTTTCCTGCGTAACAGATGTATGGAGATTCTGCTGGGAATAATCTCTCTCTCTCTCTGTCTCTCTTTAGAAAAATAAAACTGGGGGGAAAGGAAACAAAGACAAAAGGAGTGGGGCCAGCCCCACAGCACAGTGGTGAAGCGATGTGCAGAGGGAGCTGGACCCCACCAGTGAGTGTGGTTCAAACCCCCGCCCTGGTGCTGGGTGCATACGTGTGTGCCCCGAACCCCGCCAGGAGGGAGAGACGGAGGGGCAGGAACTGTGCGGACCACACCTTCTGGGGAGTGCCTTCTCCCTCTCCTTGTCTTTCTCTCTAGTGAGTGCACACACTCTCTGGCAATAAAGATCAAAACAAATTTTGTTGGAGAGATTTTTGCTTTAGGGCATGTACGCTGACTGGAGAGACAGAGAGCGAGAAGTCACCCCCGGGGGATGGCCACACCACAATCCCTTCTCCTCCATTCTCCTCTCAGGATCCTGGGCACGCACGCACACGCATACGCAGTATGAGTTTCAAGCTACCGGATCCAGGACTCAAACCATGGTTGATCATGTGGGAGTCTAGCACCTTAACCAGTATGCCACACACTAGCCCAGATTTTTTTTTTTTTAATTTTTAATTTGCCATAGGGCACTTGTGCTTATAGGGAGAGAGAAAGAGAGAAAGCACCCCCATGGAGGATGGTCATATCACAATCTCTTCCATCTCTCTCTCCTGTTGGGATTTTAGGCACACGCATACACACACACACACACACCTGCTGGCCCCCACCCTGCTTTTCCTGCCTGCTGTTTTTCACCTTCCAGTACCTCGAGGTGATTGATTTCTATTTTATCTAGCGTTTAACATCGTCGTCTGTGGGGGGGCTGGAATTTGAATCCATGTATGTCAGGACACTGAACTTTTAATGATATCACACTACCCCCTAGTGGCTGAACGTAGAGGAGTAAGTAAATTTGTAAACTGAGCTGCGCGTTTGGAAATATTTATCAAAACAATAACATAGCAACACGTTGTCCATGCCGACAGCTTCAGAGGGAAAGCTGCCCGGAACTTTGTCACCCTTAGTGCCTTCTTAGTTTTCTTCATTAAAACAAACAAACAAACAACGCAACCTGTTGAACACTTTAATGTAACATATTGGCAATATTACATTTACAGGGCACAAAATTTTCTTTTTCTTTTTTGAGAGAAATTTTTGCTATAGGGAGAGTGTGTTCACCAGACAGAGACAGAGAGACAGCAAGTGAGAAATCCCCCCTGAGGGGACCTGGCCACGCTGCAATCCCCTCTCCTCCATTCTCCCGGGATCTTGGGCACACACATATACGCGCCCAGCGTGAGATTTAAGCTGCTGGGTCCGGGACTTGAACCAGAGTCGACTATGTGGGAGTCCAGTGATGTAACCAATACACCTTCTGGGGGCTCCATGCAGGATACAAAATTCTAAACATGTAAGATCTTACATACAGAAATCAGTGTCTCTTCCACCAGGTCCATCTCCTCACAGGGAGCCAGTGTTGTTTTCCAGGGGAATTGGCACAGGTTTAAATAAATACGCACCAACTGTTTTTCTTTTTATTTTTGAACAGAAATGACAGATGACTAAAAATATTTTCACCTTTCGTTTCTCTCTTTCTCACAATCCCTTTTCCCCCATCCTTCTCTCGGGATTTTGAGCATGCACACACATGCACCCAGCGTAATTTTCAAGCTGCCAGGTGTGGGACTCGAACCATGGTTGACTATGTGAGAGAGTTCAGTGCTTTTATTTTTAAAAAATGTATTACATTGTATTATTATTATTTTTATACAGAGATTTTTGCTATAGGGTGCATGTGCTTGCTGGAAAGACAGGGAGACAGAAAGTGAGAAATCACTTCCCAGGGCAATGGCCACGCCGCAATCCCTTCTCCTCCATTCTCTTCTCGGGAGCTTAAGCATGAATGCACACACGGCCCAGCGTGAATTTAAGCTGCTGGGTCCGGGACTTGAACCATGGTTGACTACATGGGAGTCTAACGATGTAGCCATTATGCCATCTGCTAGTCCCAATTATTATTATTTTAAAAGATTTATTTATTAATTTCCATTTGTTATTATTATTATGACTTAATTTGGCCAGATAAAGGCAGAGAGAAAGGGAGAAAGCAAGCCACCACATCCAGGACTTGAACCATGACTGGCCATGCGGGAATCCTGAGTCTTTAACCTTCATGTCACCTGCTGGCCCCTATTATTTTTAAATCAGACCAGAGAGAGAACACGGGGGGGAGGGAGGGAGAAAGCAGGCTGCCAGTTCTGGGACTCTAACCACAGTCGGCCACGTGGGAGTCCAGCGCTCCAACCATACCACCTGTTTTTTGTCAGGATCCTCAGATCAATTGATTTTTTTTTTTCCAGAAGACACATGTGCTTGCCAGAGAAAGAGTGCCCATCACAGGGCATAGTCACTGCCATCCCTCTTCTCTCCTTTCAAGATTTTGGGCACGCGCACACCCACCCGGCATGTTTTTTGAGCTGCTGGCTCTGGGATTCAAACCACACGGACAGCCATGTGGGATCCAGCTGCTTTAACCACATCACCAGCAGGCCTGATTCTCAGATTTTGTTTTCATTATTTTTTTAGTTTGCTATAGGGCACATGTGCTTGTAGAGATGAGAGAGCGAAATCACCTCCCAGGGGTTTGGCCACACCACAATCCCTTCTCCATTCTCCTCTTAGGGTTTTGGGTACGTGTGCTCATGTGCCAGTGGGTCTGGGACTCGAACCTGTAGTTAGCCATGTGGGATCCAGCTGCCTTAGTCACCACTCCGCCAGCTGGCCCTTTAATTAAAAAAAATTAATTTTATTTATTCATTCATTTATTTTCATTTGGCCAGAAAGAGACACAGAGAGAGAGAGAGAGAAGGAAAGTGGGAAAGTAAGCTACCAGGTCGAGGACTCGAACCATGGTTGTCCATGTGGGAGTGTCCGGTGCCTTAACCACCATGCCACCTGCTGGTCCTGATCCTTTCATTTTAATTTTTTAAAAAAATTGTCAGGGGGCTGACAGGTGGCGTGGTGGCTAAGAGAGCTGGACTCCCACTTGGCTGACAGTGGTTTGAGTCCCGGACCCAGTGGCTTGCTTTCCCACTTTCCCTCTCTCTCTCACTCTGTCCCTCTCTGGTCAAATTAAAATAATTTTTAAAAATTCAATAAAAATTATTTTTGTTTGTTTTTGGGTTTTTTTTGGAGAGATTTTTGCTATAGGGCGCGTACGCTCGCCGGACAGAGACATAGAGACAGAAAGTGAGAAATCACCCCCCAGGGGGGATGGCCACGCTGCAATCCCTTCTCCTCCATTCTCCTCTCGGGATCTTGGGCACGCACGCGCACGTGCCCGGCATGAGTTTTAAGCCACTGGATCCGGGACGCGAACCGCGGTCAACTACGTGGGAGTCCAGCGACATAGCCATTACGCTAACTGCTGGTTCCCAGAAGGCACATGCCCTTACCAAAGACAGGAGAAAGCAGCGCTAGGTGGGATGTAGCCCCGCCACCATCCCCTCTCCTTCCTGCTGGGATTTTGGGGCACGGACCCAACATGTTTTTCTTTTATTGATTGACTTTTTAAAGTTTCGTCATAAGGCACGTGTACTCATCAGAGAGACAATGAGAGTGAAGTGAGAACTCTTTCCAGGGTGGGGTGGGGGGATGGCCACGTTGCAATCCCTTCTCTGTTCTCCTGGGATGTTGGGTGCACACACGTGCTTAGCGTGAGTTTCAAGGCACGAGCTCTGGCACTCAGACTGTGGCTGGCCCTGTGGGCTGCAGTCCAGCTCCTTAGCTGCCACGCCACCAGCCTCCCCACCCCGTTTTTTCAAGATGCTGGGATTTAAACTGCACAATCTGCCATATGGGATCCCACTCCAGTTTTTTTTTTTTTTTTTTTTTTT